TATAGGGATTGGACACGTTGGGGGGGGGTACCCCTCGGTCTCATTTCTTGCTGGGTATAACGTACGGCAGTCTTCTACTTCCTACCCAAAATTCACAAATCCGGAAATCCAGGCCGCCCCATCGTGTCTGCGTGTAGTTGTCCCACTGAATTGATATCCAACTTCCTTAACACCCATTGTCAAAACGCTCCCCAGCTATGTCAAGGATACTTATCACACTCTACGTCTGTTCGATGAATTTAGGTTCCCAGGTACATCCAACTTTCTTTTCACCATGGATGTGAAATCGCTTTACACATCCATACCCCATGCGTGTGGTTTGGCTGCGCTCAAACACTACCTATCTCCGCCAGACGCAGGATCCTCCTACCAGCACTCTGCTCCGTACTGGCTGAGTTGGTGCTCACGTTGAACCACTTCGCGTTAAACGGTGAGCACTACATTCAGACCAGTGTTGTGGCTATGGGCACGTGGATGGGACCAAATTATACCCGTCTGTTTGTTGGCCACATGGAGGAGCAGTAGCTGACCCAGTATCACGGCGTGCAGCCGTTAATGTACTGGCGATACATCGATGATATAGTTGGTGCTATCACCGTTACGTGTGATGACGTTGAGAATTCCTTAGCATTTGCGGATGCATTTCACCCAGCACTGCGCTGCACATCTGGTGTGTCACAACACTCTGTTACCTTGCTCGACGTGCACGTACAGATCTGTGCGCGGAAACTTGGCACAACCGTGCATTACAAACCCACAGATTCCCACAGCTACCTGCAGTACCAATCGTCTCACCCCCTCAAGTGTTCGAACTCCATCCCTTACTCTCAGTTTCTTCGACTGCGTAGGATTTGTATTATCGATGCGAAGTTCTCTGCGCGCGGGAAGGAAATGCTATGTTTCTTTCATCAGCGCGGTTATCACAGACGCTGCCGTCAACGCCGTATCTTCAATCCCGCGCGAAACGGCTCGGAAACCCACCGGGGCCAAGCAACGTGATCGCGTCCCCCTTCTACTCACATACCACCCTCGAAACATCCTGGTACGTAATGTTCTTCTCAAACATTTTCGTACAGTCGGTAATGAGGCGGCCACAGCCTCCATTTTCGCCGAACTCCCGATTTGCGCGTTTAGACACGATCGTTCCGTCGGGGACATGGTTGTACGTTCCCAGTTGGGTTCCGTCTCACCGTCAAAAGCAGGCAGCAATTCCCGTTGTCAGCGCCCCAGATGTAACACCTGCCCGTACATAGTTAGCAGCCAGTCTGCAGGCCCCAGCGGTAGCTACAGAATACGCGGGGATCATACATGCATTACTTGTAAAGTGGTTTATTGCATTACATGTTTCGCTGTGGTAAACTGTTCATCGGAGAGACCAAGCGACGCCTTGGTGACCGCTTCGCGGAACACTTGCGCAGTGTGCGCCAACAAACACCTGGTTTCACTGTTGCGCAGCACTTTTGCGCGCCGCCACATTACCCCGGTCAAGTAAGCGTCTGCTTTCTGCGGAAAGCGTCACACCGATGTACAGCAAGGAACTGGAGCAGCGCGTCATTTTCGAACTTGGAACGCTGTATCCAGGAGGAATGAACGTGGATTTTTCCGCGTTCATTCAGAACTGAATTTGCTTGCCCTGAAGAAGGTTTTCAGTTACCGAAAATTCGGCAATCATACATTTCAGAACACTGATTTAATCTTATATTCTTGTCTATAAATTAGTTACGCGTACTCAGCTTGCTCCGCATCAAACGTGCATATGCTTGCGCGCCTCATGGCGCGCCTATGCGGTGAGCAAAAAAAAAAATCAAAAAACAAAAACAAAACAAAAACACGCCTTCTTTGTTCCGCTCGGAGCGGACAGACCGATATATTTAAACTGTTGGGGTGAATTGTGACACTGCTAACATTTCCCATAATATGTATGTCACACCCCTAGAGTTGACCTACCCTTAGGGACAGACCTTTGGTAGTTTAGACACGAATATATACATACCTGTTACTGGAAATTTGTTTTGGCTACACAATATTTACATTTATTTACAAAAGAACACAAAATACATAAAGATGAACTATACATTTCAAGAAAGAAATGAACTAAACTGAAGCATTTACACTCCCTTATCGGTCACTTTAACGGGCCCAGTGAGAAATCATTACGTGATTATCCCATAAGTGGAGAAAAAGGCTCGAGATATTACACCGCACCGAAATTAATACAATATAAATTGTTCACAGCTCTTTGAAGTACAATATACATAATGGTGATCATGGAGCAACGGCACGAGGTGAATCCATCGGACCACCAGAATGCGAGATGGAAGTCCTCGGGCTTGTTATGTTTCTTGCGTAGGTCCCTACGCACCGACCATTGGAGAGTAGGTGATGGTTGAGGCTAGCATTCATCGAAGTCAGGTCAAAATCAGAATCGTAAAGAACTGGGACAGTAGCCACCCCGCCAGTAGCAAATGGGTAGAATTACGGGATACCCTGTAATGTACAACATACAATTTTTTAAATCAAATAAAAAAAATTGTGTTCCTAACTTGACTAAAGATTTACATTTAACAACGACTTTCTGGAAAGAAAAAGGTCAGTGAGAACGAATAGTTATATAATTTAGACAAAGTTTCTTTCATTGCGTTGATTGGATGTCCTTGTTTGTTACTTCACTCGACGAAAACGTCACCTCTCTGGCTCTAGCTCTAGTTTCATCTCTACCTTAAAGATGGAGACTCCGTCATTCATATCTCATCGTCTGTCACACGATTTGGGTTCAATGCGTCTGCAGATCTCACTTACACAAATCATGGCTTTCTTTGAGATTTTTCCAGTGAAATCTGGTGAAAATAAATGACAAATTAAAAATTCAGTTTTTAAAACCACTTTTGCCGATAAATAATATTTTGGACGGTCCCAAGCATTATAGCACAAGGCGTGCAGAAACCTTCTGAACGTGCGAATCACATGTCAAAAGCTGCTCCTTCTTCCAAACTTGATTTTACCATCGATCTCCGGCAATTTCTCTGCTGCGCACACCTCAACCATCATTCTTTCCAAATTTATCCATTCCAGGGACAGAAATCAGTTTTTCTTAGAAATCTGACGATTGAAGTGCAATAACCTCAACCAGCAGTTTTGAAATCTCCGTTTGAAAGTGCACGCAACAACATTCGCAACGCTTGTTATTTACCCTCCCGAAAATATGCACGTGCGGGACGCGTTTTGGACGTGATGTCCCATCCACAAAAATTGGAGATCAATGGGTGTAACCCTATACTAGCACGTTATTTTTTCCAGGACTTGTAACATAAACCCTCTATTAGCCTTAGTAATCAACAGCCTTTTTAGAAACTGTCAGGCACGACGGCACGATACGACGACACGACTTGACAGCACGACACCCCGGTGCGATGACGCGACCGCAAGACATCAGGACGCGACAGCACGACGGGACGGCAAGACGGCACGACACAATATATTAAAACAGCATAAAAGT